CATAACACACACACACACACACACGTATATATATTGCTTATGCTTACATCCATATGCATATAATACAGATGTATATAAATAGTAAAGTATAATTTTGCAACTGTATGTATGTCTTTTTCTTGCCATTTTTAAGAAACACCTCGTGTTTATACTGATGCATATGTCTGGTTATTAATCTTACTCTCTGATAGTTTGTATATAAATGTTCTCCGGGGTAAGCTGTTTGTTTTATGTTTCATTCGGGCCATCACCGGAGTGTATAAAATATTCCTCTATATACCAAAACACTTCCTTCTATTTGCCCATCCTCACGGCCCTGTTTTCACCGTGCTCATCCGCGGGGTGTTATGCAGGCATCTTGCAGCAGTTTGACATGCCCATGGCGGCCTGGGCAGCGGCTCTCAGTTATCACTTCATGATGCACTTGGCCTATTTGAGAACGGAGAAGCGTCTGCGCAAGCTTATGAAATGGCTACATCTCATCGCTTGGGGACCCTTTGCGGTGTCAATTATTGTCGCGCTGGCTATGGGCACGTTCGGGCCGGTATGCTCACATCTTTGTTCATGTACGTGTGCACATCGTTGTATTCGAATGTACCTACATGTTCATTGTTTCCTGTTTAAACTTGAAACACAATGCCTCCAAATTTGTTGGGGCCATGTAGACTGCCTTGCTCTAATATGTCTTTTTGTGTAAAATTGGGTCAGGTATCTGCATAAGAATGTACCCTACTATCGATACCCGGTGAGCGTTGTTGAATGTATCGTATTATTTACGCCAATATCATTCCGTGTATTCTGTTATACTACAATATAAGTTTGCATTGGTTTCGTACGTATGTTTCTAAATACCATTCGGGTTTTTTACCTTCCAAGTTGATGTTGTGCGTTTAAAATCATATATTTTGCACAATGCCCGGAGTTTTAACAGATTTAGACCTTCCTATACACTTCTATGTGGATCTATCCTGTGGTCGACTATTTATCCGATTTGTGATTGGTCAAATTATTTATCTTTTCGACATTCAGGCAGGTTACTGGTGCTGGGTGGTGTCAGAAGCCGTCTACATGCGCAGTTTCGTCTTCGCCTTCATCTGGATATGTGTAGGCTTTAGCTTACTATTCACGACCGTTATGATAATCCGCATCAAGTAAGTGGCTACGATTTCCATATCTTAGAAGATGTGTAGCTTTCACCAAAGTATCCTTATTTGAGGGTTGAAGTGAAGATTTGTATTCCTATGCGGTTTTGTATCAATTTATGGGTTCATTTAGTTGTATGGACAAAATCGATAGAATCTGCTAGCGCATGTGTACAGGTGTCTGTGCACAGTTTTGAACACTTACTTAAATTGTATTTGCATGCATATTTGTGAACATACCAGTGTTTGCATGTGCACGAGCTTGCGTGGCCACATAAATTGTCTTGTTTGTAGACCAATATATATTTTTACAATATTCATATGGCATAAAAAAACTTACATATAGTCAAAGATGTCTATGCATATTGCCATGCTTGTATACGAATGAGCTGCACGCGTTAGCAGTGGGTGCGAGTGCGTGTGGCTGTCACCTGTAAGGCATGCGCTATGCGCGTGTGCGTGCATTTGTATCTTCGCGATTGAGCAAGTGTTGCGTCTGCTCTCAATCGATGGGTTCATGGAATACGCTTAAATGTTCAAAGTCTGCAAAATCTGTCGTATTCTCACGTTCTAGTACAATAGACCTTTACATTACAAAATTGACAAGCAACAATCAAGAAGGTCGGTGAGGCACTCGAAATATATATTCACAGTTAGTCCTTTCATTTATCTTCGTCCAAACTATTGATTCCAAACGAACTGTCAGACGCGTCCAGAGAACACTGACCCAGGAAGGACACCGCAGCCAGGCTTCCGGTACAAGTTTCTTTCTGTGGCAGGCAGTGATTTATATAGCCATCTTTCTGTTCAGCTTTATCTGGCCTACGTTAGATAGGCTTTACGCCTACGCCACAGGGGAACAGTCGAGTTTACTCAGTGTCTTGCACGCATTGTTTGGACCGCTGTGGGGGTTTCTGAATCTCTGTGCGCATTTGGCTCCGAAAGTGTATATGCGGAAGGTGAGTAAGAATGGGCGAATGGGTGGGTATATTATGTCTATACAATGATGTGTACGCTTCATCACGATGCATATCCATTGGGGTGCGGATGTCGATGAGTTAGAGTATGTGCGTCTCGATGTTGTACGATTTCCTTTGTGTCCTATCTCATCTGACCTACTGTGGACAGACTATGCGCATTCTGTATACGGGAGCACCCGCATAGACTCACGGTCGGGAAATGGTTTAGTACCAGCTGATTTGAGTATAAGGATCGTATGTATGTTTGCAGTCTCATCGTGAAGTGTTTACGCAAGTGATGTTTCGTCCGCTGTGACAATTCCTGGATCTTTCAGCGCCTCTAGTACACTGAGAGCATATACATGCAGAAGGCAGTGGGGACTTGGAGTGAGTATGGGAGTGAATATGGACGTGAGTGCACAGTAACATGTATTCTAGCACTTCGCACAGAATGGCTATTGCCACACAGCCCGCGTGGCATCTAGCACAGAGAAGGACGATTCACAATGCCATGCATGCTTCATACATGGCTACACATGGGACTTTCCGTACTTCCATCGAATGACCAGTCAATCGACTAGTGGTATCTTATCTCATGATCCACTTCATTTTCTCTTCCCCAATTGAGGGTCGTGTCCCAAATTCAAGCCCTGTTTAATAACATACAGAGCGTAGCTTTGTAGCGAGCTTGAGTATGTCTCGTATCTGTCTTGTATTGTCACGCATCAACGTATTCTAGCAATTTGTCAGATGTAATCTATCAACGATTCTTCTCTTTTTCTCTTTAAGGATCTGACGTACCAGTTGTGTTTCCTTCTACTAACAGCTTCGCCCATTTGTGTTTCATACTACTCTGCCAGGTTTCGTTCTGGGAAGGATTTAGCTACAATGAGAATCAACAGCAAAGGGAGCGACTGGCCGAAAGCAAGAACAATTTGTTCGCAAGCAATACGGACAACCTTGAGGAACAATCACAGCAACCTGAAGGGTATGTGAATGCTTATGTCCGAGCATGTATTTGCGGGGCTCGATATGCAGCATATATATGTACGTTACTGTTTCGGTGATTTGCATATATCACTGCAGTTCTAGCTACACTGAGATATACAAATCCATCGGTTGATGTGTACTCCAATTTCGCCGAGTTCAAAAGCTTTCCACGACGGCTCGGTAGATACTATCACAGTACCGAGCGACTGGGCATAGGCAATGCATGGTACATAGTAGATACAATCTCATTTTAATCTTGTACCAATAATAGTAGTATTACTGTTGCGCTCATTCTTGCGATTGTATTGCGACAGATACGTGTACATCAATGACGATGATGGGAACGGTCGGTTCGTGTCCATTGCGCAGTTGGCAATGGCGGCGCGGAGACGTGACACGCGTCCCGCAATAAGCTTCACAAAGTCGAGTGTGGATGACCTATCCGAACACAATAATCACTGTGCTCCGCCGCAACTGGCCAAACTGGATGATGGTAGAGGTACGCAAATAGTTACGCACAGCATGTGGTGTTCTCCATGTATGGGGTTGTGTACAAAGGGTCGTGGCAATACGTTTGCACTCTGTGTGGCGTGTGTACATGGCTAAGCACGTGTGCACTCTGTGTGGCGTGTGCGTTGATAATTCTAGCTTGGTCGTCCGGTTTCTATAGAGTGGATGGGTTTGCAGAGACGAGTGCAGATGATTTTTGCGTGACTGTGTTGTCAATCTATTACCTATCACTGTAAATATGCGCATCTATTGCGACGTCGTTTGTGCTTTCGCGTGCTTGCGTGTCGAGAGAGTGTTGGACGAGAAGTGTGTGCGCGTGTGCGTGTGTTAGTGTGCGTGTGCGCGTGTTGGAATATCAGTGACATTCTGACCTTTTCGCCTCATACAACAAATTGTCCGTTCCGGCGTCCATTGCACAGGTCCACTGTCTCCCCAACTCTCTTACAACGACTCACTGGGTGAGGATGGAGAGGCGAGTGTGAACAGTATCAGGACTATAGTGGACAAAGCCAGACTCAAGTTTGGACTGGCCCTGAATGCAGACGATAGGCGGCGTGTCTCATCAAGGAAAGGTTCGAGCTTCGCGCTGGAAAACAGCTCTGGATCTAGTAGACGTATCCGTGATATCAGCGCTTTCCTGGGCGAGCACCGACTGTCAGACAGTGGAGACGAGAATGGTTGGTAGAGTTGGTGTATGTGTAGTGTGAAGCTTTAGATATTGATATTGCATCGCCATGCCAACGGCTGTGCGTGTTTCGATGAACTCGTGTTGCTTGTATGGATGTCATAGATGTCTGTGCGCGTGGTTTTTGAGGATGTGCTGGGTTTTTTTTGGGATCGGAATGCTGGTAGTTCGGTGTTGCCGCATCACCAGGCTGTATAGCTGGTCTCTTTTTATTTACCTGATCGTGATAGGTATATTTTCTTTGCACGGTTATGAGGATGTCTGTTATAAAATTCACTGTATAATTTATCGTTTATACTTTTGCCTGTATGTTTGTGTTGCTGCATCAATGCCAGATAGTCTCACAGTAGCATGTTCCGGATTTTACCGTGATCAAAGCCAGTTTGTATGTGAGCAAAGCCATTTTGTATGCATCTGTACTTATTTTCGATTGTTTGACTTTCTGTATGTTTTATATCGAATCTTCGAACATAAAACCGAACCGTACTTCTATGCACGAGCGCCCAAATCTACATTCTACAGTCACATTTGAGTGCGGATATTTCTATCTAGATTTTATTTGTCGAGAGCCCCGCTGCGACCTATGTATCACTCGGCTTTTATCTCAACGTCATCCTATTCCATGGCTTGATTGTTACAGATCCGGAACGCACAAATATTCAATTATCGGGCGAGACCCTTGGATCTTTGCTCAACATGTCTATCTACACGGAAAGGACAGCCTCGATAAGTGGTCCGGGCCACAGTGCCAACAGTCTATGTCTCGACGTCGAGAGCGGACCCGAAAGCATTCAATACGATACAGACAATGCTCAAAATGGGACAGAAATGGTAGATTTGGATACCATGTTAAATAATATCGAGGTATTGGGTAACCAAAAACGTAGGTCCGTTCTCGGGGTAACAGGACGCACACGGAGCTACACACCGTCACCTATGGTTACGCCTGAGGGAGGCTTGTCGCCTGGGAGCAACCTCAATAGCCCACGCATCAGTGCGATGGTAGAACGCAGAAGTGGACAAATAATGAGGAATGGGGAAAGACCGAGAAGCGCGAGCGGGTGGCTGCGGGATGCATGGGTGAAAAGAAACAACTCACTGGAAGTGAGCGATGCAGAAACGCGACCGCATACAGATATAAATAGAGTTGTGTCGGCCCCCTTTGCGCTGACGAAGAAGTTCATGCGGAGCCTGAGCGATGACAAGAGTGATGATCAAGCGGAGAGAGAGTCCCCGAAGATATCTCCCAGTAGTGGACAGTTGAAGAGGAAAGGCAACAGTGAAGGTGATGTAGTGGTGGCTGAGAAGAAATGTACAAAGACATCTTCAAAGAGTGGACAATTAAAGAGAAAGGGGAAGGGGGAGTCGCAGTCAGAGAGTAGTGCGACGCCGTCGCACGCACACACGCACATTGATACAAACAAGGAATCACAGTCTATACCACTCAGTAATACAAAGTCTTTCCCAGCCCACAACACCAGCACGCTTACATTCAGTGACACATACACGGGTGCGCGCAACACATTGACGAGTAGCGGGGAAAGTACACGAATAGCGGGACGTTCGAGCCCAAAATCGAGTAGATCAGACCTCCTTAGGTCAAAAATTAGTAAGAAATTAGACAAAGGGAAGAAGCCAAAGAATAATAGTGAGTGTGAAGACGTGGAGAGTCATGACAATTACAGTCACAGTTCGGGCGCGAGTCCTGAGATGAACACGAGAAGACAATCTCAGACAAAGTCCAAACAGGGGTGTGGTACACCTGCGGAGGTGCGTGCACAAAGCTGTGGGACTATTGCGCTGGATGAGGATAGGGACGATGATGCAGCACAGTATAGAGGCAGTGCCAGATACACACACAATGCTGTTGTACGGGAATATGAGGTGCTCGGCGACAAGCACGGGGGTGTGAAACATACACAGAGTATGGTGAAGCGGGGGGATAGTAATGGGAGTGGTAGCAAGCACAAAATTTATGGGAGGAGGCGCACAACAAGCGAGAAGAAATACACGCATGTTAAGTATGGGGGTGATGATGTTAAGTTTGGTGGTGATGATGGGAGCCGTGGTAAGCATTCTGAAAGCGAAACGACTGACAGAATGCGAGGTGTGGGCGCAAGTGGCTTGGACAGAGGCAATTCAGAGCAACATGCATATTTAAGTAGACGGAGATATACAGACACGAACAGAGATTTACACGCAAATACAGGCACGGAATCATACGCACCCACTCGAACGAATAGACGATCACGTACAAGCTCGAGGGAAACGCCGAATATAACAGTGAGTTCGGAGAGTAGGGACACAGTGTCCATTTCGAGTGCGCATGCGATCTGTGAAACAACACCCAACACAGGCACACATATCGAGGAGCACATCGAGGACGACACGGATGAGCATGGCGATTAGACTTATTCGTGTGCATCGTATGTAAACTACGCAGGTATCGGTTGCCCGCAATCGTTCGGACGATATACTTGCATAGTATAAAGACATGTATGCGGGCGTTCGCATGGCCACAAACATAGATATCGGACGTGCATGTGAAAATGCACTGTGGGCCTCCTTGGAGGCTCCATTTTCAATATGCAGCGTTCCCTACGATGTTCAGATCGTAACTGACCGAAATTTTTAATTTTTTTAATTAGCCCCATCGTAGTTTAAGGGCGTCGTAGATGTCACGACCTTTGCCACCTGTCTGTACGCTCATGTATAGGAGATGACATGAACCAGAAGCTAATGCTAAAAATGACATAAGCTACCCTATTGGGAAAGCAAAAAAGGATCATTCAGGCCCTAACTGCTTTATACGGCTCAGATCCGGATATCTTTTTGCTTAAAAATTTATGCACATGCATACATGAATTTGCTTACAGGCATGTATGCTATATATATATATATATATATATATATATATATAATATATATATCGCACACACACACACACTACACATATATATATATATATATATATATATANATTA